AGGTTGGACACAGGGGCTTGGAGCAGCCTGCTCTAGTTGAAGGTGTCCCTGCCCATGGCAGGGGTTGGAGCTGGATGAGTTTTAAGGTCCCTCCAACCCAAACCATTCAGGATAAGCACCAGGGACTCTATGAGTCTATGATCACATCAGAGCCTGGCTCCTGCCTGCTGCTGCTCTCCCCTCCCGTGAGTCCTTCCCAGGATGCTCACAAGGGGTTTTGTGTTCAGCAAACCAAACCCAACCCAACCCAACCCAAACCCAGCTCTTGTGTTCCACCTACTCCCCCTGTCCAGAGAACTCCGCATGTCCCAGCTCATCTCAGGGAAACCCTGTGCTGGGAATGCAGCCCCAGCAAACCCATTGCAATGAAGAACCATTTCCTCCTCCAGAACTCCCCACTGGCATCAGGCATCTTCCCTCCTCCTCCATCACCTGCTCTTCCCCAGCCTCCTCTTCTGGGTGATGATTTCTATCAATGTTATATCCAAAAGCTGCTGTGCACCAATAATGCAGATGTGGGATCTGTTCCCTGCAGCCAGCCCCACTCACCACACAGGAACTGACTTCTCCTGTTCTGCCCCACAACAGCACCAGGGGCACCCCCAGATGCCAGGGAAGGAGCATCCCAAGGCCGTTGTATTGGCCCAGCCACTGGCAGGTTTCTGCTTGATCAGATCCCATCTTCTTCTGTGTTCCCAATTCCTCCAAGCGTCTCCGGGTTATTTCTCTGCCTTTTGTTATAACTCCCAAACTCCCATTATTTGCACATTTAATGACTGTGCTGATTACCCCCTGCTTCTGGCAGAGCCTGCCTAGCTCTGAACACAGCCTGGGGACCAGCCTGCCTGGTGCTAGTGTTCTCATCTGCAGGAAGGATTTAAGTGAAGGGCTGAGCAGCAGAAGGACACCTTCTGCCACTGGTGGGACAACAAAGGGAGGCAGGAGACCCGCTCTGAGCATCCTCAGCCTCCCCATGGCAGCCTAAGCCCCTTTGTGGTGTTATCAGCTGCCCAGATGTATTTGGGCTCAGCATCCCCAGATACCTCCCAGTTCAGGAATGCAGCCCCAGAGACTGGGAAACAGGCACCAAGAACACAAGTCATGGGGCAGGAGCAGGCACATATCCCACCGGCCATGATGGATGGGACCTGTGGAGACCACAGCTTGCCAGGACTTGGGATTTTAGGCTCAGATAGACCTTCACTCCCTGCTCCCAGCTCTTCCCTGTGGGGACATTTGTCCTGCAGGCTCAGAAACCCCATCGGGGGGGCACAAACCACTCCTGCCCC